CATGAAGAGGACTTTTATATTAATTGTCCATGATATGCAATTCAAACATTCCTACAGATTTGCTAATCTCAGAGTGATATTAATATAATACTGATTTAGGACAACCAGGAAAACTGAATATGGATCAAACAAGACTTTCAAGAAGTCTTCTTCTGTGGCCTGGGCAGGGGGGATGGGACAGAAACATCTGACACTTGTTTGGCTTTTTCAAATCTGGATGGAGCATTTTGTTCCTCCCAGACATAAGCTCTGCTCTCCTAACGAGGGGTTCTGCTCCTCTCACTGCATCCTTTCTCTCACCTGGATTGAATGAAGACACACTGTGGATTTCTGCAAAGTATCAAGTGAAGGCAGCTCCCAATTTAACACGTACTATAACACTGCAAGATCGGAAGAAGAATTCCAAAAGGGAAACACAGCTTAGTGCATGAGGAAGATTCATTCTTATACAAGCACACACATATACAGAATCACAGAATCATTTAGGTTGGAAGACCTTTAAGACCATCAAGTCCAATCGTTCCCCCAGCACTGCCAAGCCCTCCATTAAACCATGTCCCCCAGTGCCACATCCACGTGTCTTTTAAACCCTCCAGGGATGGGGACTCCACCACTGCCTCGGGAAGCCTGTGCAGGGCTTCTTTCCATGAAGAAATTTTTTCTAATATCCAATCTAAACCTACCCTGGTGTGATTTGAGGCTGTTTCCTCTTGTCCTATCCCTTGTTCCTTGGCAGAAGAGGCTGACTCTCACCTCACTACAACCTCCTGCCAGGTAGTCGTAGAGAGCAATAAGGTCTCCCCTCAACTCCCTTTCCTTCACGCTAAACAACCATCCTCAGTACACAGGTCATGCTGACAGCAGTGTAGTTCCCTCGATCCTCCTTCTGACCCTTCTTGTAGATGGGGATCACAATTGCTCACCTCCAGTTGACTGGGTCCTCCCCAGTGAGCCAGGAGTGCTGGTCAGTGATGGACAGAGCTCAGTGAGCACTTCTGCCAGCTCCCTCAGCACCTTGGGTGGATGTCAGCCAGCCCCACACACCTGTGTGTGTCTAAGTGGTGAAGTAAGTCACTGAGCATTCCCCCTTGGATTATGGAGCTTCATTCTGCTCCCTGTCCCTGTTCTTGCAGCTCAGGGGGCTGCATACCTGGATAAAAATTGGTGTTACTATTAAAGGCTGAGGCAAAGAAGGCTTTAAGTACTTCAGCTGTTTCCTCACTCTTTGTCAGTATATTTTTCTCTGCATGCAATAAAGAACAGAGATTCTCTTTAGCCCTCCTTTTGCTGCTAATGTATTTACTTTTTACTGTCTTTTATGGCACCAGCCAGACTGAGTTCCTGTTGGACTTTGGCCAAACTACATAGTACATATATATGTGTGTGTGTATAATACTGCAGAGGCAGAATGAACCCACATTCTTCCTCTTCCATTCTTCCAAGCCTGAAACTCTTAGCAGCAACAGATGAAGAAAGTGAACAGGAGAGAACATAAGAGGCAATGCCAGACAGAATTAGTGTGGACAGCCATGCCATGTGTTGGTGTCACACTGGAGGGTCACACTAAGCCTACAGACTCCAAAGACATTTGAGGTCAACTGTAGGGGAAAAGGTTTTAATTGTAACTGGCAAGCTGTTTTAATCAGGCCTATCTGAGCAGATACTGCCTTAGAAATATTTACTAGATACACTCCAGAACTCATGTAATTAACAAAATTGAGTAAGATTTTTGTAACAATTTAATTTTAGAAACACTCCAACTCACACCAGATGAGCAGATCAGAGTCTGTCCTTTCATAACTGACACATTCAGCAACTTGTTTAGTGCCTTGTCTGACACACAGGATTTCTGACAGCACACAGCCTTTCCTCTTCTATTGTGCTTTCCAGCTGAAAGAGGGATCATAGAGAAGTCACTCAGCTGAACTTTACCCAGAGCTGTCCTACCAAGCTCCCTCTGCTCACTGATGGAAAATACCATCATATGCTGGTATTTTTCCAGCTGGGTTTGAAGGTTACCTGTTGTCAAGCACTGCAATAGTCAGGTATGACACTGAAAACTGTAACCTCTGCAGGATGGCAAGAAATAAAACAAAACACAGCTGTCATTTTCAGAGCTTCAGTTCTCCACCCCACCTTTAGTTCAGGAGCTTAAATTCTTTTAAGTGAAGCATCTTGGACTGCCCTAGAGCTGCTTCTGAATCTTAGCTGATGTCTGGATGGGGTTCACTACTCCAAGGGCACATTATCAATTCCTGATGTCCAGAAAGAGAACTGTGCCTGGAATTTTCAATCTCCATCTCAAGACAAAAAACACAGTCAGGAGCATCCTGAGGGAAAAAATATTACATAGCAGTCCCCATGTATGTACTCAAAGCTCTGACTGCTTGATGTCTCTCACTATGTATTACAGAATCTAAATTTATCACTAAAAGCCATAACCTTTGGCTAAAGAAAATTTAAGGATCAAAAGAGCAAAGGAAAGGGATGATAAATTCAGTGGGATCTTCTGTATAACATCAGACAGGAATTTTGCTCTACACCTCCTGCAGCCAGTGGGCTGCCTGAAAATGAGGTTTTCGGTGCAAATATTACAGCCACAAGATTAACTCTTAAAAATGTTCTTAGTTTCAACTTGTCCACCTTCAGTACTCAGCAGAGGTCTGTGCTGTTCAGAAAGGCAGTACAGCCACAACATTTCTCCAGGTGACATCCATGCACACACACCAGTCATGGCCCTGCTTACACACATGCACAGCACAAACCCAGACGGGCCGGTGTCTGCCTGTGTCCACAGCTTGTGAAAAGCTGCCACTAATTCCGTGAAATATTAGAGCAGATGACAGCACCAGTCAATTTGAAAGCTTTAACTGCCCAAGCACTGGTATCCAGCTACCATGCTCATTCCTCACCACTCCTCTCTTGATGACTGCTCCATTATTCAAGGGGCAAAGGCTCCGATTTAACCCGACAGAGAACAGAATGAAACCTATCTGCAGAAAATGTAAGTGGTAAAACTAATTCACTGTCCTATTGCAGAATACTGGAACATTTATTTTTAAAACTGCACTGATTCAAAACCTCTAATTTACTGTGACATACAAATGCCAGGATCTACTCAGCCTTAGATTCTCGTGTTCTACAGACCACACAAACACTGGCCAGAGCATTAAAAAATGTAGGCAAACACCAAGACAAGGAGGAATCAAGGAATGAAAGAAACTACAGCAGCCAGTCTGACACTTATCAAAGCAGACTGTAAGGCAAAGCACTGTCAACAGAATTTTTCAGGCATTGAGGTAAAGTGTTTCAAGGTCAGAAATCAGAAAGTGGCTCAACCAACCTGCATTTGAACGACTTACTAGAAAAACAACTTTGCAGAAAATTTGCAAGGAATAATTTGGTGGAGTTTGTCGTCTTGCTGCAAGTTGCAGCAATGACTATGTGTCTTGAGTACTGGTCACACTGGGGAAGCTGAGATGAGGCTTTATTAATTTATGCACTGAGATGAGTCATTGCAAGATTCTGCCATGCAGAATATTTGGTCTTGACAATCCCCTCCTAATCCCATGTGCCAAAAAACATTTGTTGAAGGCTGAGTTTGTTCTGTAAGTACTAAAACACTGGCTGCCTTGTATCGTGCACAATAGAAATACACACTTATACTGTGAACACAACAGTGTTTCCAGCAATTGTGCCTCATCTTACTAGACAGAGCAGAAAATGCTTAAACAGTCCTTTACTTGCTGCTTCAGTGTGTTTCACAACTGAATTCCCCTTCCTCCCACTTCACATTCACTGTTCATTTTCTTTCTAAGCTGATCATGCTAATGATATTTAAAGTCATATCACATTTTTCACCCTCGTCTGTTTGTGTGGGTTTGAAACTGGACAAAGACTCTCTCATAGCTACTTTAAGAACATTTTATTTCTCTTGTCTTCGTAGCATGTGTTAGGTGTGTGATAAAGTGGATCTCTATCAGCACTTTCCTCAGTATTTAGATGAGATCATTTTGACAAGCGAGGCAGAGGCAGAACTTCCAGAGGAGATCATTAAAAATGATGCTGTTGAATGCCAAGGAAATCCATTCTAAACAGGTCTCATTGTCACACAGGCTATGGACCATCATGAGCAAGTCTTCACTATATACATTACCAGCTTTCATTTTAATAGCCCAGATGCTGACTGTCCCTTTGCTCATCCTTTCCTCCCAAAGTGCTCTATTTTTCAACAAATCTTACCTTATTCCAGAATTCGGCCCATCATTATGAGGAAGGTTATCAAGATAATTAGAGGGATAGGGCACCTCTCCTGTGAGGAAAGGCTGAGAGATTTGGGATTGTTCAGGCTGGAGAAGAGAAGGCTTCGGGGTGACCTAACTGGGGCCTTCTAGTACCTGAAGGGAGCCTGCAAGAAAGATGGAGACTATTTACAAGCACATGGAGTGATGGGACAATAGGGAATGGCTTCAACCTGAATGAGAGATGATTAGATGAGATATCTGGAATAAATTCTCCACTGTGAGGGTGGTGAGGCCCAGGTTGTCTAGAGGATGCTGTGGATGCCCCATCCTTGGAAGAGTTGGACGGGGTCTGAGTAACCTGTTTTAGTGGAATTTGTCCTTGTCCATGGCAGAGGGGCGGAATAAGATGATCTTTAAGGTCCCTGCAAAGCCAAACCCCTCAATCATTCTATGATTACTTTTATTAAGATCAGCAATCTGAACCACATTAGACTGACAGTCCTGGAGAATCAGCCTAATACACCATTGTTAAGGTGCATGATAAACAAACAGTCACTGCAGTCAGGTTTAGCCTCAGCTATATTCTGAAATGTTACCTTCTGGGATAGGTTCTCTATAAGCCTTCTCTTCAATGAGTTCTCAGAAACCCTTGGAAACACAGTAAACAGAGTAAAAGCAAAGCAAAAGGCAGATAGTGTGCACTCTATAGCATCAGTCCAGTTTGTGCATGTGTTAAATATATATTGAAATCCAAACCTCTGGCAAAATGATGTTATTTGCCAAGGCACCTGCACACACAGATGCCAAGGAGCACTGCATCCAGCAGACATCCTGTGCTGGCACCACAGCTGAAGTGTGAGGTTACCCTGGATGATGGGGAAAATGTATAATGTGAGAAAGTTTAATACTGTCAGGTACAGCAGGGACCAGGACAGACATTACACATTCAGCCTTACCTTTGTCGCTTCCCCAGTGCTTTTGACAACCCTTAAAATAGCAGTCTTTGGTGAAAAGCATAAGTCTTCACCTCTGCAGAAAAAAAAAAAACCTGACATTTTATTACTGATGCCCTTTTCCACAACAGGTGGAAGAATGTCATGGCAGATCTAAATACATTCTGCATGTAACTACGGTTGTGCAACTGTACATTTTATGATTTAAAGAACAATTTTCAGCAAAACTACATCTCAACTATTCCATTTTCCTTTATAAGGAAAGAACTGCAAACCATGTGCCTTCCCCCAAAAAAGTGTAACTGGTAACAGATACTGCACATAGAACAGAACTTGCTAAAAACACTTTCAAATCACTTAGAAATATAAATGCCATACCCTTTGTCTTATTTTGTAGTGGTATGATTGTGTCAGAGCACATAAATTCCTTTCCAATTTATTTATTTACTAGTACCTTTGCAGATTTTAATTTTGTTGACACCTGCACCTAAAAATGATAAAAGCACACCCATTCTCCCTCTCCCACGAGCTTATTCTAATGCATATGAGGGCAATTACTTCTTGACAACTCTCTGATGAATTATTGTGCTCTTTGCTAAGCTTGTCACATTGATCACTGGCCAGCAATACAATTAATAAAGTATTGCTGTCCACACAGCACATTAATAACTAACCTGAACTAGAGGTGGCAAGTCTGATAGATCCAGTACATTTTAATCTTTCCTACCCTGCCACCTTGGGAGATTAAAGGAAATCTCCAAGACAGTCTCCACATGTCAGCACTGGGTTCCACAACATCCCAGCCAGGGTTACCAACCTGAGACCTGATATCACATTAATGAAATGCAGTTGGACACTTAAAGCTTCATTTCCAAATGTTGCACTGCCTTGTGGTCAAAACATTATTTATTTATTTATTTATTTCTCCTTCCTATTTATATTTCTGAAAGGTAGAATTGATTAAAATCGTCAGTTCAACCAGAATTCATTAGAAAATAATGGCCATAAATTCAGTGCACTCTGAAGCGTTGCTTAATAATTCCATAACATTTAGAATGGAAACAATCAATCTAGGAAAGGTCCTACCTCTTCAATACAAAAACAAGGATGAATTAAAGCTCAGTCATGAGCAGCAAGTCTGGAGCTTTCCCACAACATTTTAGAGTAATTTTAATTGGTGCTTTTAGAGTTGTCCTAACAAGCAGGCTTTAGGCAGAATATTTTTGGATTTCTAGGATATGTGTTCTTTTAGTCAAGTTCTCAGAAGAGAGAAAGTTCATTTGGTATAAAAGTGTTTTCAAAAACACCAGCAAATTGCTCTGTCATCCTTGGAAATATCTCTGCTTCCACTCTGTATTATGAGAAAATTTCAATTGCATCTCAGGCCTCGGACCAACACCCAAAATATCCACATCAGGATCTCTCCTCTTGTCTGTCCTCAGCTTTGGCTTAGCTTCCAGTCACTTGAGGCTGATCATTCCTGGCAGCCACCAGGAAATATGGCACAAGAGAGAGTCTCCACTGGGATCAAATAATCACCCCTCAGCTGCACTGGCTTTACTGAGCAGAAGCAACACAGGAGAGTTAAAACACTGTAATTTAAAAGGAATGTGATATTCTCCCTTCTTTTAGAGACATGAAAGGCAAGGAAAATGCTTGAAAGCAGCTCACTAGTCAATCAACCCAGACCAGTGGAATGGCATGAAAAAGGGATCCCTATCTCTGCCAGAGCCCAGCAGGTGGAAGGGCACTGATTCACAGGCTTCCAGGCAACAAGTAGCAGGTTGTCCCACCACTGGGACTGTTCATCTTCAAGAGGCACTTCAAATCTTCTGCACTTTATTTCCAACTTTAGAGATTTTGTAATACCAACACCTGGCACAGATCTGTTCTTATGCACACATGAGGATATTTATAACTCATGAGTCAGTAAAAGAATTACCAAAGACCACACACACACACTGAAAAAAACCCCCAGCTCACCAGTGAGATTCAGAATATCTAATGAATCCACTTAGTTGAAATTCCTTAATTGCTTTGCTAATAGGTAAAAAAAACCAAACCATTCTAATATGAGAACTTCAATTCCAGAAAAGATATGTAGCCACCTAAAGACTACAGAAAACCCAAATATTAGAAAATGTTCCCTTTCCCAAAAGAATATACCAAGTATCTGGAACTGTTTGATAGAAATTAGACAAACCTAACATTGTTGAACATCATTCAACATGGACTGAGGACTGTTACCAATATATTTGCTCAGTACTTTAAAGGTGCATTTCTCAAAGCTGAAGAAAAAAACAAAAACAAACAAAACAACTTAGTGCAGTGACAAAGAGAATTTACAAGCACAAGGCGATCTCAGACCTCTAAGTGATGACTACAATCCAAATATTACAATTCCATGATCAAAAGGATTAGTTTGTCCAAAACACAGAAACGGCATCAAGATGGGACAAAAATTAAGGGCAGGAGGAGTAACTAAGATATATAAAGTTACTCTGGAATAGTCACAGCCCACCAGAAACACTCAGAGGAACCCATCAAGAGTGTATCAATGCCTGCAACAACGTGCCCAGCACCAGGTTCAAAGCTGTTTGTGGTAAGACAGTTACAGCAAGAAAGCTGGGGAGGGGAAGCTGAGACCAAAGAGGCCACGATTTATTTCAACATTATGAGTAATAAGTCTCTGCCACAAGTTACCACCTGAAGACTCTTGTTTACCTGCCTTCAGATCAAGAGTGGTGTGTGCCTGCCACACTCCAGCTGGGCACAGTGCAGACCCCACGCGATGTCCTGTGACACCACGGCAGGATCCTCACGTGCACTGAGGTGGGTCTGCACTAGCAATCCCTAGCAGTGCACCTCCAGTAAATTAGGACCCAAAGAGGGCATCAAAGGAGGTGCAATTAAACCCCCTGTAACATCTCACTAAGGCAACCACGACCCTTCCCCAAGCAGAGGTCCCTCCCTGCCCGGCCCCGCACCGTCCGGCGCAGCCCATGCGCTGCTCAGATCTCCAAACAGCTCTCAGGTGGGTCTGACCTGCCTTGTCCTGCGTCACAGATATTCTCTTACTACTCTCCCTTTTTGAGTGGTCTGCCTGACATCTCTCTACATGAAACCATTCCAACTGTCAAGTGTTTCCTAAGCACCAGGACTGTTCAGCACACCACCTCAGGCAAGGACCAGATCCCCCCTGAGCTCTCTGTTCCAGCTGATAAGCACAGTCCCACTGAAACACCTGTTCCTCCTCAGGCTGTCAAGGTACAGAAAGCCTTAGGATAAAGCTTCCTAGGCAACCTCAAGTGCTGCAGTCCTGTCCCAAGGTTATGGCTGACAGGAGCCTGCTCGGCTGTGGAGAGAGATTTGCTGTCTATTAGCTTATCTCATTGTGAGCTAAGCCCAGCTCATGGTCCAGGAATGGATTATACCCACAGGCAGTTTGCTAAGGATGTTCTCAGCCTTCCAAAACCCTCCAGTCTTCAATACTTTGCTTCACAGTGCCGAGAATGGACGCTGTGCCACCAGGCTGTCTTGCTATAGTATTTTTAATTATGCTTTATTTTGCCTTTGGTTTCAAGGGCATGTTTAACACCCTTAAGCTAACACAATGGGATATCTTATTTGTCTATTTACATTACATTAGAATAAAAGTGACATAGCAGAGGCAATGTGGATTTTGGAAGCTTCTTCTCATTCTGTTTTAATAGAAAAGTTTAATAAGGGAATCTTGACTTTCAGTAATGAAATGAAAGTCTATCGAAGTGGCATAATATACTGGCAGTGGATTGAATCACAGTTTGCACTTAATTACAAAGATGGCATTGATAAGATTACCCATGCAAATTAGTTATCTTTTTCCTATGTGTTTAAGGATTGCAGAACCAAAAGACATTTGTACTGTAAATTGTGAATGAAAATATAGCAGCACCCAGCCATAACACCAGTTAAAATCATCTGTTAGGAGCGTGCCTTAAAAGCATTTTCCTTATAATGGACCACTTTACCAGCTTAGTGTACCAATTCAGCTGCAGGGATTCATTCTACCACGAAATTTTGCATGCAAACTCTTCTGGAGAAAATAATATGCATGTTAAATGTCACTAGAAAGGATTATCATGGGAAACAAACTTAGATGGCCCACTGAGGATGGATAGATAGGAGCTGGCAGAAGGAATAACCAAACTGACAATCCTCTAAGATGGCAGAAGCCTCAGAAAAAAGTACAGCATTAAATTCCAGACATTCCTATGAGGTGTTCAGAGCACAGGCACTATAAGGACAGCAGGAGCTGGTGAGATAGCTCAGTGCCAAATGCTGGCGTTCAGAAAGAGGAGTCTGTTGGTGCAAACTATTTATCCATTGGCCTGGAAGTCTTGCCATCAAATTAGAAATGGCTAAGTCCCATATCCAGTTTTATACAACCTGTTCTCCTTATTTGGCTAATTTTTTTTCCAAGGGAAGAGAGAGAAAATCTGACTCCAGGAGCTATACAGGAAAAGCAACATTTACAAACTTTTCCAAGGAGGCAGTTAAAACAATCTCTTTCCAAATGCATTTGTTCTTTTGGTTTTCTGAAAGGGCTGTTGAAGGCAGTTGTCACAGCAGGAGAGTCACAAAACATTCTCTAGCAGTCACTCCTGCAACAGTCAGAGGAAGAACTTTTTCTGAGTGCAAACAGGTAGGATGCAGTGATGACAAGTGAACTAGAAGGTGATATTCTACTTTCTATCAACATGTGTGCTCTCTGCAAGGCCCAGCAGAAGTGAGTCCTATCAGCTCATGGGAGGGGGGAGGGTGTTGTTGCACTGTCCCACTCAAGATTTTTTTATGTAGGGACACAATTTTTAATCAACAAAATGTGCTCAGAGAAACCCAAACCAACCCACTACTGCTGGGAAGGCACCGTCTTGAAAAGACTTTATGGGTATTGCAGAATGCTTGGGGCAAACTTCAGTTAAAGCAGGCAATGAAGGAGTAGGAATATGAGTTTTGAGTTTATGTAACTCTCCCTTGTAATCAGCTACCAGTTGTTTCAAATGGGAATACTCATAAGAACAGGATATTTGAGTAACAGAACCTTTGTCAAACATCCTCTGTCTGCAGGAAAGCAACAGACCACAAGAACAATGATTCCCACCGAGCCACTTGTCCTGATAATTCTGTGGCTTGAAACTCGTGCCTGAGGCATCTCTAGGTCTGGGGTAGCTTAGAAAACATTAAGCATTCTGGTCCAGCTACTAAAAAATGCATGTTTTCATGTCTGCTGCCATGTGCAAAGAACTGAGAGGCAGAAGGTGCCCCCTCTTTGGCTGAGACCTGCAGTCACTACGGGTCCTGTTCACAGCAAGTATTAAAATGCAGAATAAAGCACAGCATCTTTACTGTCACAGGACTCTGATCCCCAGTAGCCACACTAGTTCAGTTTTGGCAGGGCTCAATGAGGCAGGGCATGAGAGATGACTGGCATGACCAGAGACATTACCCACTCTAGCATGGAAGTGCCTGGATGCAGCTGGCATGAGAGTTGCACGTGGAAGGAAAGGATATTTTGGAAATTACATGCTTTTAATCACCAGCTGAAGTAAATTAAAAGGGGCTAGCCTTCTAGGATTCCTTCAAGTTATTTTTGGTGAGCAAATGCCCTCATAGGCAACAGGAATTCTTCCCTCTGGAGGAATTCCACTCTGTAGAGATTACTGGAAAGAGGTCTACAGGAATCTGATTTAACTCTTATTCTGGGACACCCTGGTGATGTCCTGAACAGCCAGACACATTATTCCAGCACCCAGGACATGAAAAGATGGGAGCAAGACCCAGGGTCAGTGAGGTATTCAGTTAGGTAGATGCTGCCCAAAATCTTTGTCTCAGTGCCTTGGGAACAGAGAGGCTGTGGGCAACATAAGGAACAGTTAACATTTCTGAAAGGAGGAGAGAAGTGAAGTGTGGCAAGTGACTCAAAAGCAATAACATCAAGTGTTTGTGTCTCAGCCTGTGATGTGTACTATTCACTGAACCTCTGATAATGACTGGGGAATGAAGAAAACTAAACTAAGATGACACAAAAGCCATAGTTTTCAAGAAAAAAAGGGCATGTGGTGGTTCAGGTACCTAAGAAAAGCACAGCCCCCCCCATGATAAGAACTGGAATTGCCTACTCTGTCTTTCAAGTTTAGCTCAGCATCAGTCAGAAGCAGTAAAATAAATGCTCTATATTTAGTGCTCATGACTCACTATAAATTGTGATAGTTTTGATTACATATGCTGCTCCCTGTCTTATAGAGTTCCCTTGAAAGTTGCCCCTACACAAAGATATCTCTGCAGGAACTCTCACTTGGTTAAGTCATGATCTCTTGTGGTGGTACCTTCCCCCCACAGCCCCTCTGGGCTGCTCTGTAATCTCAGGAATTCCTGCCAGGCCTTGGCAGCTGTGTAAGGAGCTGGGTGGTGGAGCATCCCGTGGCTGTACTGGGAACTCCTGCATTGCTGAGGTGGGAGCAGCACTGACTGTACCGGGGTCTCCTGTCGCCTGGCAAAGGTGGGGGATGAGAGTGGGAATAATCAGCCACCCCTGAGAGCCTTGGAATGTTCCTTACCAGAATTGTAGCCCAAGTGGAACGAGACCATTGTTACCTGAGCTTTGGAAATTCCAGTAATAACCCACCTGGATTGTGACGAGGGTGGAAATTCACTGTGACTGAAGCCAACCACCTTGTGACCCCATAAACAGTGTCCTAAGTGAGGCTCTCTGAGCACTCCTGGACCACAGTGGGCTGTGACAGCACCTCCCTCTGAGTGGGGACTCTCAGAGCTCCCAAACCCTCAAGTCTGCAATAATCAGAGGACCCTTGTTGAAAGCTGACAATGGAGCCTTGGCTGGTATCCCCAGTGTCCTTGGCTGATATCCCAGTGCCCAAGGCTCAACCCTCGGCCACTGAGAATTGCCCACATCCTTAAAGTATTTCACTGAAGTCTAGGGGAATGTTTAACAGGTACCTTTCTACATATATACATATACACACACAAATATATAAATATATACATATACACACACACACAAATATATACATATATATATATATATATATATGTATAGACAGAACTATCTTCAAGAGTGTACAGGTAAAAATCAGAGCAAAACGTCTTGGTTGTTTGGTAAAAAAACCCTAAAAGTAGATATAATATATATGTATTGTTTTGAACAACACACCAGCTGCAGGCAGGCAACAGCAGACAATAGCTGATCCCAGTTCTTTGCTTGAGTCCTGAAAGTCAAAATGCAAAACTAATTACATAAAAAAAGAATCTGAAAAGAACTCTACAAGCTACTTTGATAGTCTGGGCAGCTATGCAAGCACACTGTTAGAGTGACAGGTTATATAAGTGTCTATATAAGTGTCCATATAAGTGCACAGTCTGCCCAAAACTTAGAACTCAGCAGCCAAATACAACAGTGAAAGGGTAGCATGTAGTTCATGAGCATGGATAATTATATCATTGAGTAGGATAATTACAGTAGAAAAAAACCACACAGGAAAATAAGGTGCATGTACTAGGAAGCCTGCAATAGAAAAGCATCCACTTCACTCTGAGAGACTGATGTTTGCCCAGGGTGCTCAAGCAGCACTGCTGCTCATCAGTGTGGGTCGGCAGCTGGGACAGCAGTGTCCTTCCTGCTGCACTTCAGCTCAATGGCAGCTGCTGGGAAGGGCTGGACACTTCATCTGTGGAGATGCATGTGGAGAGGACTGCAAGGATGCTGATTGCACTGTAAGACAATGTCCTTGAAAAAGAAAAAAAATATCCCTTTAGTAAAGTGACAAACTAGGACTTAATATCCAGGGTTCTTGTAAATCACTGACTCATACTTTACCTAAAAATCTTGCTCTTTGACAAATTTTAGATATTTACATTTTGGAAAGGACCATCTGCCAAGACAACAAAATCTAAGTTGCAGATCTCTTTCATTTGAGAAAACCCACCTAAGTATGAAATGAGTGAAACCAAAACACAGCGAGGAGTGAAGCAAGTCAGTCCCAGCTACTGATGGCCACACTATTAGTCATACAATTAATGCCTATGTAGTCTTTGGAATAACTGGAATCACCTATACCTGTCAGTGTGCCATGGTCCAGCAATCCCCAAACACAAACACCCAGCCAGAGCCACAGATTATTGCTGCTCAGTCCACATGTACAGACAGCAAGGAAAGCCTGTGGCACGGGTGGAGCCTTTGTTCCTGACCCAAACAGAGCAAGGCCAGTGCCCAGGATCCACTATCAGTTGAGATATTTTTTTTCTATCACTCTTTTTAACACTTGTTCCCCTTAAATACATTTACAGGCACCATTTAAAAGTCACTTCTTTGTTCCAAGGAAATGGAACACAGCAGCAGGAAGACATTATGCACTAACACACCAGGGCAAGCTGCATGCAAAGGAAACCTGCCAAAACTAGTTTTTCCTCCTTTTCTGCAAGGCAGCAGTTTTTTTCCTTAAGCTGTCTCACTTGAGGACTTATATGAGTATACAGTAAAGAAGCAAAAATCCATTTCATTTTCCCCACTTTCAGGCTGTCATCAGCTTTATTGCTGTGCCACCAAACCTCCTCTGACGCTGCTCTGTGAGTACACAACTGTGTCACACACTGAAGGCTGGCCAGGCACAGCATCCCAGCAGCATTTCCATGGCTTCCAGCCCTGCTGCTCTAACTGAGGAATGCAGACCTGACTGCAGCACCACAGAAGGCTGTAACCATCAGAATCCCCAAGTTTTACTTTGTGTCTCTTCCATATGTGGTTTTCCTCTCCAATTTATCATTTGCATCATAGGAGATGCCCCTAATCCAAATACCTCAAGTCAGGTAAGGTAACAATACAATGCAAATGCAAGTTGTGTTTATCTTCCCAGGGCCTCACAACGTGTAAAAAGTTCTTATAGCTCCAGATGCCTGTATTATTGAATTTAAAATAAAAGCAGCATTATTTCTAGTTCCAGTGGGCAACTGATGTGATTTATCCTCACAGAAAACCCTGTTTTTCAAAAAGAACATTTTCATTTCAGTCTTAAAAAAAAAACCAAAAAAAAACAAACCAAAGAACCACACAGATAAAAATCTGTTTTGAGGCCCTACAACATAAATTAAGTTAGCACAGCAGGGCTTTCACTGTAATAACTTAACTTGTCAGTTCACATCATTGACTGACACGAAGATTTCATGGGGCTTAACTGATCAATATAATAACTATTTGGATGGCTCCACAGGAATAGCCCAGTCTTAATTTGAGGTCAGTTCTTATTCTTTTTAAGTCTCATTAGCAGAAGCTAATGTAAATCCAAAGATGTGAGGACAAAAGCAAAAGCTTTCCATCAACAGCAAGGCCAGCAAAAGAATCCTGTGTCCAGTTGAATTGTGTGCATCCCACTACAATCTCTTCCAGGTCTCTGGCATGGAACAAAAAGCCTATGTCACCACTGGCAATAAGGAGGGAGAGTGCTAGTTGCTAGGAACCATATTTTTTCTAGTTTCAAGTTGGAAATCAACCACGGGCGTATCAGAACAGATTTGCAGCCGGCACAGAAAGGCTTCATTCCATGAATTCTGCAGAGAAGGCCAGTCTCCATCAGCTGAGATGTTGGAACAGCACACTTAAGGAACCGTTGCCCTTCACCTTCCATTTTCTCAAGCAATTCCCTGAATGCCTGTCCCAGCTTGTGACTTTGGAACAACATACTGCAGAGACACGAGACAATTTTGCATGAGCTGACTGCCACCAGGAGCAGCACAGCAACACCAGCTTTGGCACTGAGTCACCACGAAACCCTCTGTCTAAGTCCAGCCATGCAGACATCCCTGGAGCCCCAGCCTCACATGCTGACAGGCAGTGCAGCTTTAAGAAAATAGAGCTATGCAGGCTGGGAGAACTGAAGCCCACTGCCCACTACCAGCCTCAAAGTTGGCTTCAGAAGAGAGGTGGCTTTGCCCAAACTATGGAAGAGCCCCTCTGAATCCTGATCTGTTTGTCCAGTGTGCAATGGATTGAAGAGTGCTGCTTTAGTCTTTCCTGTCTCCTTCCAAACAGCTGCATTCCATCACTCCCAAAGGGAAGGAACTCCCGGGCCAAAATGTCCATGGGCTTACTGAATGACTGAGTAGAGTAGCAGCATGTGAACTCCCCTAAAATTAGTGAGGACACTGAAGCTGCCAGGTAATTAGTGAATATTCTTTTTCCTTAGCCAGTGTCAGAAGCACTACCAGCTGGAAAAACTTGGAGCTAGAACTTGTGGCCTACCACCTTCACCCACACCATGCAATCACCCCAAAATGGGGTCCAAGAAGGAAACCAACACACTAACTAGCTGTGAATGCTGACTCAGGAAAATCTTACTGTGTAGCCAGATGAAGTAGCATCAGATGCACCCAGGAATCAAGTTCAGGTGGGGTCATCAGCCTGTGGACAGATGCTTCTGCAGCAGAGAGAAAATGGAAGAAATATGCAAAGCACTTCTAACTGAAGAGCTCATTGAAGGCCAAGTCTGTAGGCTTAGCATCTGTAAAGAAAGAATTGAACTCTGTAAATTCAAAGACTAAATCTATTGTTGCCTCAAGAGCAAGGCAATGAAAAGCAATAGTGCATGGGAGTGACAATGACCTGTTAGAAACCCGAATGCATTCAACAATCCTCCCATTTTCCCCACTTACTTGTTCTGTCATTCTATGTGGTAAAAAACATCTGCCTCACAGCTGAGACATTCAATTCCTCAGAAAAAATATCCTGAGCCTGATTAAAATACAGTTGAACAGGACAGAAAGATGACTTGCATAGCCTGTTATTCAGGTGCACAGAAAATATTAACGGACGGTTAAAAAAGTGGCTGAGCTTCAAAGGAAGAGAGACTCCTTAAAAATGTACCAGGGCATCAGCTGCAGCAAAATTCCCAAGGGAATTTTGTGACTATCATTGCATCCAAGCTCTTTATTTTCCAGTGCCCAAGACTGAGCATTTTAACAGGGAGGCCACAGAAACGTCACAAAAAAATCTTCTCTCATAATTCCATATGGAACAGAAGCATATTCAAGATATGCTTCAAGGTGCCTGCTTCCAATTTCAACTATGATAGACTGTTTACTCTGTCTCATCTGCTGCAGACCAACTGTCAACCTACAGAAAGATTGCTGAAGCCAGTTCTGAAATATCACTTTGCCCAGCTAAATCAAACACCATTTATTTTCTGAAGTGAGGCTGATAAAATCATTTTGATGATCACAGTGGCTTGTGCTGTAAATGAGCATAGTTTCAGTCCATGCCCTTACAGATGTGCCTTCCCCCCAACAACAGGATTCACAGCTCAAGGAGTGTGTCATTTTTCAGCCACACAAGAGCAGAGTGTACATCTTACAAGTGGTGCAGAAAGAACATTCCGAGGAAGCCAGATCTTCACAGCATTCTGAGTGGCACCACCTTCATTCAGGTGAAAATCAATACCTCAGTAATTAACTTTGGACCGTCACCACATTCATACACACAGAAATGCTAATTCCCATTCTAAACTGTTTTCCTTATTAACACCATGTCTACATCTGACCATCTATATCCTCTGTGTTTATCACCACGAAGTCCATCCTAGCCACTGCTTATCCACACTGTGCTCCCAGCCTCTGCTGATATCTGCACACAAACTCTTACTTTGATACAGTAGAGTTACAAAAAAATATTCCCCCCTGCCAAGTGTTGAGACACTTGTTCCAAATTTTGAACAAGGAGCACTAAACCCAGTGCCTCAGCTCTCCTCCTGTCAATTCACACAACACAGGTGCAATATGAAATGGACTGTCACTTAACCTGTTAGCAATGCCTGCAGTGAGAAAACTGCATAGGGACCTCATCTGGAATTTCTCATGATTAAGATGGAGAAAAAAGGCATGGAATAACCTCATATACCTGTACTTTTAAAGTGAAACAATTCTGTGATACACGGATTTCTAATCTTCCAGTATAGAGTGTTTAACATCTAACAGAAACAGAAAGATCAACTGATTGCACTCCTCAAAGCCATGGGTTTGTAAGGTATTTTGCTCCCAAGAAAAAAGGCTTCCCCTGGTAAATGGTGCTTTCCTCTGAAATCTATTTCCCCTAAACTGAACACTGCAGTTAGAAAAGAAATCAAAATGAGATATCTGGGAGGAGGTTTTAACTTCTCAACATGAAAGCTCCTAGATACACAATTTGAGACAGAACCATACCTCCCCAGGTATAGGCACCTTT